TTTCTCCGCGTGATAAAATATATATATACTTGTTTGAAATTAATGTATGATATAGGTAAAAAAAAATAGAATATATAATCATATTGCTAATCATATAAAAGGTTCTTGTGTGGGAAAGAGAAGTCATTTTGTAACAAGAGACACGCCCTAGGCGTTAACTATAGACAATGTCTGACTTTGTCTTTGTTAATAAGCTTTACAAGAGTATTATAATAGTACGAGACAATAATGCAAAACTAATCGAGAATCTTAAGGTCAACATTGAAATGATATAGCTTTTTTTTAAATTATCGCAATTATTTATTTGACTCATATATAATATAATTTTAAATATTTTTCAAATTTGGATTTTTAGAAAATACTTTCGGTAATCGAATAGTATTTTTTTTTTTACAAAATATTAGTGAAAAACTAGTGAATTTCAATATTTGCAAACGAGAAGAAATTTTCAGTTTTTTTGACTCTTGAGAAGAAAAAAATATACCAAACTTTGCAAACAAACAAAAAATAATAATCAAATTATCTCATATTAAAGAAACAGTGCTAGGTTAATTAAAAAAATTGATTGATTGATAGATTGGTAGATTGATGAAATAGCTGATGGATAGATTGAAAGATTGTTGGATTGATTGATAGATTAAACTGTTGTATGATTAATTGATTGATTGATTGAATGATTGATTGATTGACTGACTCGTAGAAGGATGAATTAATTAATGTATAGATTGAACGATTGTCGGATCGATTGATTGATTGATTGATTGGTAGATGGATGGATTAATTGATGGATAGAATAAACAATTGTTGGATTGATTGGTCATTTGATTGGTAGATTTAATAAATTATGGATAGATGGAACGATTGTTGGATTGATTGATTGATTGAATGATTGATTGAATGATTGATTGAATGATTGATTGAATGATTGATTGAATGATTGATTGAATGATTGATTGAATGATTGATTGAATGATTGATTGAATGATTGTTTGAATGATTGATTGATTGAATGATTGATTGAATGATTGATTGAATGATTGATTGAATGATTGATTGAATGATTGATTGAATGATTGATTGAATGATTGATTGAATGATTGATTGAATGATTGATTGAATGATTGATTGAATGATTGATTGAATGATTGATTGAATGATAGATTGATTGATTAATTGATTGGTAGATTGACGGATAGACTGATTTATTAGTAGATTGATAGAATAATTTATGCACAAATTGAACGATTGTTGGATTGCTTGATTGACTGATTGGGTCGATTAAATGATAGATAGATTGAACGATTGTTAGATTGATTGGTAGATGGTTGAATTAATAAATAGATTGAATGGTTGTAAGATTGATTGATATTTGATTGATTGATTGGATCGATTAAATGATGGATAGATTGAACGATATTTGGATTGATTGGTAGATGGTTGAATTAATAAATAGATTGAATGGTTGTAAGATTGATTGATATTTGATTGATTGATTGGATCTATTAAATGATGAACAGATTGAACGATAGTTGGATTGATTGGCATATAGATGAATTAATAAATAGTTTGAATGGTTGTTAGATCGATTGGTTGATTAATTGATTGATTGGTGGATTGATTGATTGGATCGATTAAATGATGGATAGATTGAACGATATTTGGATTGATTGGTAGATGGTTGAATTAATAAATAGATTGAATGGTTGTAAGATTGATTGATAATTGATTGATTGATTGATTGGATCTATTAAATGATGAACAGATTGAACGATAGTTGGATTGATTGGCATATAGATGAATTAATAAATAGTTTGAATGGTTGTTAGATTGATTGATTGACTGATTGGTGGATTGATTAATTGGATAGATTAAATGATGGATAGATTGAACGATAGTTGGATTCATTGGCATATAGATGAATTAATAAAGAGTTTGAATGGTTGTTAGATTGATTGACTGATTGGTAAATGAATGGATTAGATTAATAAATATTTTTTGTGAATGAATTGTTATTTATTAATTTTGCGATAGATAAAAAAATGAAAGAAAATTAATTTACAAAAATAAAAAATTTTAAACACAACTAATCTCAACTAATCTTGAGCATTATTAACTTTCATCAGTGCGACATGTCCTTGATGCACAACCTCATACAAAAATGCATAAATAAATATATTCTTTGAAATATTATTGTTTCTTAAATTTGACTAATATATAATGTTTCATGAAAAAATAATCACCACCGTCATGTCACGATTGCATAAATATTTATTCTACACACAAATAAATGTAGCGCAAAAAATTTAAAAAAAAAAATTTTTATCATAAAAATGACTGTTATTAATTTTGATGGCTATTCCGTAGACCCGTAAAATTCGCGGATATTACTTTACACATGGACAAAATGCGGACAAATAATTATTGTATACTTATACGTAAAAGGCGTTCAACGAAAAAGTCCAAAGAAAAAAAAAAGTCGGTCAAATATAAAATATGCGCGTGAGAAATAAGTTATACATATAGTGTGCTCAAGCATTAATAATGGAGAATGAAAAAATAGATTTTTTTTATTTTTTTTTATTTATGAGCAAAATTAAACCTAACTTAGTTAAAAAAAAAAAAAAAAAAGTTTACTGTATAAAACAGACTTAGTTAATTATATTTAAAGTATAGTTTACTTATATGGATATACAAATATTTTTTATATTAATTGAAATTACCTTCGATTTGAGTAGGTATATGATTAGGAATTACTTTCAATTAAAGTTACCATCGATTTAAGTCACCTTTCATTGAAGTAACCTTTCGCATATTAAGTTCAATGAAAATCAATCAAATATTATTATTATTATAATATTAATTAATTATAATTAAAATATGTTAAGTTCTTTACGATTATAAATTCTCGGAAAAGGAAATTTCAGTTTTATTATGTCATAATAAAAAAAATATGCAAAAATTAATATATATAATAACAATAACAAAAATTATTTGATTCAAATAATCGGATACTTGACATTAAGTAAATATTTATTTCTATCAAATAATTATTATTTGAGATGGTTTTTTTTTTTTTTTGTAAATACAGAAATTGGTTTAAATAAAATTTATTTAATTCAATTATATGGTTTTAAAAATTATATGTATTTAATTCAAGTAAATATTCATTTGATAATAGTAAAGTAACAGATTATTTGAATCAAATAAATTTTTTTGTAGGACAAATTAGTCACGCTCCTAATATTAATTTTAATATATTAAATAAAAATTTGGATTATGACAAAAAAAATTTTTTTAATAAAGAATTAGTTTCTTAGAAAATTAATGCAAAATAAAAACTGTTTTAAAACAAATTATTAGAAATATATAAAACGAAAATATTTCATAGAATATAAAGTCTATTGTAATGTTACGTAAAAAAGAAAAGTTTTCAATGTTCCATATATATAAATATATATACAATAAGAATGAAACATTATTGGTACTTCAAGTTGAAGGAAAGTTAATGACAATAAGCCTTGAATTTTCTCGAGACATTCCAAAGAGTAGAAAAAAAATTACAAGGAACGAATAGAACAATTAGTTATACAAGAAAGGACAAAGCTATAATTGTTATCCGTACATCCTATGCGAAATTTCTTCGAGTTCACATCACACCTTTCTATCTTTATATTATATATATATATATATATATATATATATATATTATATTGTTCACTTATATAAGGTGGAAATCACTCAAACATGACGGAAATGTAAAACCCGCAATTTTATCTCGATGCTTAAATAATAGAAAAAAAAGAAGAGAAGAATATGATTAAATCATATACATAATCAATTTCGTGATTTTCTATTAAAGAGAAAAAGAATTTTTTTTTTCCCTCCCAATTTTCGTTTTTAATAATGTCGAGGAAGAATTTCTTCTCTATATAAAATTATACTGAGAAATATAATTTCTATACTTTGTTCCAACGAAGTATAATTATATTTTTAATCAATTACTTTAGAATTATGTATAGTTACATATATATATATATATATTGAATTGAAAAAAAAATTTTTTTCTATAAAATTGAAATAATTATTATATAGACGGTTTAATGTAATACAATTTCTTTGAATAATAGAAATCGTGTTCCGTTGTGATAATTCATTATGTATATTGTATTATGTTTAATTTCTTTCTTTATAAATGTGTACATATATAATCAATTTCTTGTTAAATATAAAATATATTATTAGATCATAAATTTTATTAGATATAATTATTTTTTAGCCAAATTTTCATTTTTTGAATTAACATTTGTCAGAATTTTTTTTTAATTAAGGTCATTTTTATTTGGTAGAATTCTAAAACGACGAATTTTTATTTGTCCGAAATTGCAAATGGCCGAACAATCGACATCAGAAAGATTTTGGACGCGGTTTTTAAAATCTACCAATCACGATGTTCTTTAACAATCATTTAATTGGCGAATTTTTAATATCGCGCCGAAATCGATTGCTTGTTCGTTCATTTGCAATTTCGGACAAATAAAAAATTGTCGTTTTAAAAATTCTAATAAAAATTCGATACATAGAAATTTTATTAAGTAAAAATTTGTTTAAAAAGAAATTCTGTCATTAATATAAATTTTGAAAATTATTTCTAATAATAAATTTTTTAAAATGAAAATAAAATATCATTTCAATAAAAACGTGACTGAATTGCAAATTCAAAATGGCGAATTCAATATGGCGGACGAATTTTTAAAAATTTATTGATTTCGCTTGAAACTTGTTACTTGGGGATTTTTGGGGTCGCTGATTATGAATCTAAAGTCAAATTTTCAAAATTTTTAAAAAGCGGTTCCAATATAGCAAAGGAATTTTTAAAAATGTTTTAAAAATTCAAAATGGTATTATTAATTAATTAATTTTTTTTTTTAAATTAAATAGTATAATACTTAATAATAAAATAACCATATATTAAAAATAATAACCATAAATTTTTAACTTACCTAGTGCAAGAGTTATAGTTAAAGAAATTAATTTCCACGCCATTGTATTTTTAATCAGATAACATGATCCTCTGGTGCATGAATTTAGATACCTGGAAAAAAGTAAAAGACCGTAAATTAAGTTATTTTTGAAAATGAAAGAGAAATTATTTTTCTTTAGAATAATAATATAGTGTACTACTATTGTAACTATACTTTCACAAAACAAAAAATTCTTCTTTTTCTATTATAAGACCATTTTTCTTTTTCTATATACGTATTTACAATATAAGAGTTTATATATCCATTTTTTTATCGATGGATAATAGTTAAGAATGAAAGGACGCAATATCATAATTAAAGTCATACCGTTAAGTAATGACAACAAAACGGTATATTTGTTGAGCATCGAAGGCGTATAACTCATCATGATGCATCAACAAATAATGAAATAAACATTTTCAAACATTCTTCAAGGAACATACCTATATATTATAATATTGAATTAATAAATCGATTAAATAAGTCGATTGGTAGAGAGAAAAAAAAAATTATGAAAAATAATTATGGTTTAAGAATTTATGATTTTTGCGTTATGAGCTAACAGCTCTATGGTTTAAAATTTATTATTTTTTTTGAGTTATAATTTATAAATTATGAGCTATGACTTACAATTTATGAGTTATGATTTATTATTTTTAAACTTGCAATTTTCTATTATGCGCTATGAGTTGTACTTTACAATTTACAATTTTTGAATTGTGAGTTATGATATACAAAAAAAATTTTGAGTTATGATTTTTAAGTTTCATTTATGCGTTATCATTTATGCTATATGAATTATATTTTATTAGTTATGATTTATTAGTTATGAAAAATGAAAATATTAAAAATTTCCGTCACATAAATCTACCTTACCGGCTGATGGTAAAACAGGAAAAATGAAAAATATAAAAATGACCGACATTACCTACTGATGGTGAAACAGGATAATGAAAATATAACAATTACCGACATAGAAATCTACATTACCGACTGATGGTAAAACAGGATAATGAAAATATAACAATTGCCGACATAGAAATCTACATTACCGACTGATGGTAAACAGGATAATGAAAAATATAACAATTACAGACATAGAAATCTACATTACCGACCGATGGCAAATAGGGAAATAAAAAAATATATAAATTACCGACATAGAAATCTACATTACCGACTGATGGTAAATAGGAAAATGAAAAATATAAAAATGACCGACATAGAAATCTACATTACCGACTGATGGTAAAACAGGATAATGAAAAGATAACAATTGCCGACGTAGAAATCTACATTGCCTACTGATGGTGAAACATGATAATGAAAATATAACAATTACCGACATAGAAATCTACATTACCGACTGATGGTAAATAGGAAAATGAAAAATATAAAAATGACCGACATAGAAATCTACATTACCGACTGATGGTAAAACAGGATAATGAAAATATAACAATTACCGACATAGAAATCTATATTACCGACTGATAGTAAAACAGGAAAATGATGTAAGCGGGTTTTAGATATAATGAGGTCCAATGTAAGCGGGTGTTGTAACACAGACTTATATAGGAAAATTCAAGACACCGGAAAAAAAATCCGATGTAAGCGGGAATCCGAATAATGCGGGTTCGATATACGTGGGTTTCACTGTATTATTATGTAATCGATATGGTCCAAAGTAAAGATGAGTAAAATAAAAAAAAAATAGAAATAATAAGTGTTACGGTTTTTCAAATGAAGATAATAATAATAATCATTATATACATAATGAATGTATAAAATGTAGCGATTACCAAATAAGAGTTGTAATTTAAAGAAAATTAACTATTCGCTTCTCTGAGTTTGAGTTTCGTGTTGTTCAGCGACGCATGAATTTCTCTATCTCTCTCTCGGTCTGTATATACGTATACATAAGTTAAAATGAATGCGATTGTGTGTATAAGTTAAAATATTGCATAAGATGAAGTAACGCTATACAGTAATCGTTTAGACGTTCAGAAAACAATAGTAAAAGGTAATATAAAAGCTTGAGGTCCACTGCCTACGAGGCGTGTATGGAATTTGTAATTTTAGATCGACTTATGGTCTCTCTTATACTCTCTCAAAAAGAGTGGCAATTTCCTCTATAACAAGCATGAAGAAATTGCTCGAGTTTTCTGTTTTTATAAACAATAAACAATATTATTTACATATTCACGTAAAAGTTGAAAAATGCGGCTCTCAACTAACTCTAAATAAGTTGGCGCGCAATTTTGCAATAAATCAAGGATGCCTTACCGAGAATATTGTTGTAATCGCGTAGGAAGCGAGAGATATTTCATTTTCAAGTTAATTCATTAGGAGAAAATTTAAATTTTTTCTTTATTTAAGTAATTATATGTTAAAATAAAAAGCATGATTAAAAAAAAATTTTATTCGAGCAACTAAAATCTTTTTTCGATAATTTTTTTTTATAAAATTTTTTATTAAATAAAAATTTAATTTTTAAAATACACTATATTTATTACATTTAAAGTTAAATTTAGTAATTTTTTAGAATTATTAAGTTCTATTAAAGAAAAATTGCTTTTTATATAATAATTTTTGTGCGGTGAGAAAATAATTGATGTTTAAATTCAGCATAACATATGTGTTATTAATGTTTATGTATATAGTCTGAAGAAATTAGCTGGAATTAAAAAATAAATGTGTCAAGAGAATAAACGAGTATCCTGCTTTATATATACGCTACATTGTTATAATCATGCGGCTCGACTAATAAAGCATGATGATCATTTTGAATCACAGAGTCAATGTGATTAAAAGTTTTTTTTTTCAAAAGTCTTTTTAAATTATTTTTTTGATCTTTATATATATTTAATTTCTTATTTTATACGTCTACATTGGACCTGCTTTGACTCTCTACCTTGAAACTTCATTGAAACTGCTATACACCTCTATTCAACCTAATTTGCACCAAACAATATATTAAACCTGTATTTAACAAAAGTTGAATCTAATTAAAGCTTACGATGAATCTATTTTGGACCTATTTAAAACTTATTTGAAACATATTTTGATTTTCAATGAATATTATACCTATTTAAAATCTACTTTGACCTTCATTTAACCTATATTAGACTTACCTAAAATCTACTTTGACCTAAATTTAAACCTACTTTAAGCCTACCTTGAAATTATGTTGGAGCTAAATTTAAACCTACTAAATCATATTTTGCACCTATTTTGGTACTTTAAACCACATGGAAACAATTTCGAATCTTCTTAAAACCTACTTTGAACCTATATTGAACAAATATTAGACCTACTTTAAACCTATGTTGAATCTACATATTTAACCAATAGTAGGCCTACTTTCAACCTATATTGAACCTATATTGAACCTACTCTAAACCTACATTGAACCTATATTGGACCTACTTTAAACCTATATTGGACCTACTTTAAACCTATATTGGACCTACTTTAAACCTATATTGGACCTACTTTAAACCTATATTGAACCTATATTGAACCTACTCTAAACCTACATTGAACATATATTAGACCTACTTTAAACCTATATTGGACCTACTTTAAACCTATATTGAACCTATATTGAACCTACTCTAAACCTACATTGAACATATATTAGACCTACTTTAAACCTATATTGGACCTACTTTAAACCTATATTGGTCCAACTTTAAACCTATATTGAATCAACATTAAACCTATATTAGACCTATTTTAAACCTATATTGGACCTACTTTAAACCTATATTGAACCTATATTGAACCTACTCTAAACCTACATTGAACATATATTAGACCTACTTTAAACCTATATTGGACCTACTTTAAACCTATATTGAACCTATATTGAACCTACTCTAAACCTACATTGAACATATATTAGACCTACTTTAAACCTATATTGGACCTACTTTAAACCTATATTGAACCTATATTGAACCTACTCTAAACCTACATTGAACATATATTAGACCTACTTTAAACCTATATTGGACCTACTTTAAACCTATATTGGTCCAACTTTAAACCTATATTGAATCAACATTAAACCTATATTAGACCTATTTTAAACCTACATAGAACCTATATTGGATCTACTTTAAATCTACGTTGAACCAACATTGAACCTATTTTCTACCTATATTGGACCTACTTTAAACCTACATTGTACCTACTTAAAACCTATATTGAACCATAGACCTACATTTAACCGACATTGGACCTATATACGAGACCTATTTTCAACTTATATTAAACCTTAATTGAACCTGCATCAACCGAAATTAAACCTATTTTAAAGCTACTTTGAACCTATATATATATATATATATATATATTAAAAATTTATATTTATACGAAAACGTAAAAAAAATTGTTTTTAATGGAATTAATTTTTAATAATATTATATGAAAATACTCGTCATAATTGTTTTGTAGTTACATATTACAGTACCTACAAAAATATAAGCAAAAGATGAAAGTGAAGATGTCAAAGATATTTCGAGACGAGATGACGTTTGTGTTTTTTGTTTATGTGTGAAGCCAATATTGCTTCCTCTACATTCTATGCAAATGAACTTATCACTTTCTCATCGAAAAGCCCCATCACGGTTAACTTTCGATCGTTGGTCGAAATCAACGTGTGTGAAAATAAAATTAGTTCCTGGTGTACCATCATAATTAATCCGTATTATAACGTCTCCAGTTTTCCCCTTTGTTCATTACTATTATTACTTATTATTATTATTATTATTATTATTATTATTATTATTATTATTATTATTATTATTATTATTACTATTATTACTATTATTACTATTATTATTATTATTAATATATCATTAAATATAACGTAAATTTTTTTAACGTAAAGTCCCTTCTCTCGTGAAGCGTCACATATATTGTTCTATTTTTCAAAATGAAAAAATTCATAAATCTTATTAAATAAGTTATAATAAAAAAAGTCATTGAGTACAAATTTCAAAATTCAATTTTTTTAATAATAATAATTATAATAATAATAATTGTATATATATATATATATATA